TGGGTGGTAAAGACAGGAGGGTCAAGAGTTCAAGGTCATCCTCGTCTACACAGCAAGTATGAGGCCAGCCTGACAGTATATAATATCCTGTCCCAGAAAAGCAAAACTAACTGTCCAAAAAGAATATTTCTCTGGCTTTGTTTGACTATCTCTAAATCTTAATTTTATGTTACTGGTTATATAATTTAAAATTACTGTCCAAGTGTTCTTGGTATGCTGGTGGGAAAACACTGCCATTGTAATTATGCCTTGGGGGCCTGAAAACGGCTCAGAGGGAAAGGCACCTGCCGTCACACCCAAGGTCTATAGTCGGATTCTGAACCCACATGGTGGAAGAAGAGAACAGACCCCCACAGGTTGTCCTCTGACGTCTATATGCTCACCATGGCATGCACACATGTGTGCAGTTGTGCATGCAGATGTGTGTTTTAGATGAGGTCTCTCATTGGTCTGGGGCTCACAGATTATAGACTAGGCTGTCTGGCCAAAGAGCCCCCGAGGACCCAGCTGTGTATACCCACCCCCGCAGTGCTGGGATTACAGACTCACTGCCATGTGCTCAACTCTTTTCTTGGGTTCTGAAGGGGCACTCAGGTCCTCACTCGCTAGGCAAGTACTCTATCTACCAAGTGAGCTATGACCCTGCTACATTGCTACTTTCAGATACATGTTTCCAGAAGTCATTTAAAACATGTAGAGCCAATACATATTTCATTGTGACATCATGCTATTATCATATCATTTATTAAAATCCATTTACATTTTAAAAGTCCACTTTTTGAAATAAAACTTCAAGTTTTGTTTTTATTCATATATAGTTTATATTTTGTTATATGTGACAAAATATTCTTTTAATTAGGTTCACTTAAATCATTTCTTTGAAGAAGCTGAACTTTATTTAATATAGGACTTCAACTAAAAAATTTAAATGATGGGCAAAGAGAAGCAGTTCAGTTGGCAGAGTGCTTGCTGAGCATGCACCAAGCCCTGGGTTTGGCTTCAGAACCATGTAAACCAGGTATGGTGACATAAACATATCATCCCAGGACTGCAAAGTTCAAGCTTGCTGTGGAATAATCCTCCTGTACACTGTGAATATATATTACTCTCATTGGTTAATAAAAAGCTGACAGGCTGATAGCCAGGCAAGAAGTATAAGTGGGACAGCCAGACACAGAGGACTCTGGGAGGAAGAAGGGTAGAGTCAGGAGATGCTAACCAGCTGCTAAGGAAGCAGGACATGTAGAAAATGAGGTAACAAGCCATGAATCACAAAGTATAGATAAGAAATATGGGTTAATTCAAGTTTAAGAGTTAGCTAGTAACAAGCCTGAGCTATTAGCTGAGCATTTATAAGTAATATTAAGCCTCTGTGTCAGTTATTCGGGAGCTGGCTTTATAAGTAATATTAAGCCTCTGTGTCAGTTATTTGGGAGCTGGTGGGCAGGAGAGAAACACCTGACTACACAAGCTCAGGGTGGGAGATACTGTGAAAGTTGAACACTTGCTGCCTAACCATAAAGACCCCAGAAACCCACATCAATGCCAGCTGGGTGTGGTGGCTCACCTCTAATTCCAGCTTCAGAAGGGAGACACAGAGCCAGCTGGCCAGCAAGACTAGCCATATGTGCAAGAGTCCCTGCTTCAATGAAGAAGGTAGAAGAGCAATAGAAGATGATCCCCAATGTGAATCTGGGGCCTCTACAAGCACATTAACATGTGTACATATGCCCAAACACATGCAAAAATGTGCATACCGTATACACATTGGAAAAAAGGTCAAGGTCACCTTCAGTTACATAGAAGTCTGAGGCCAACCTAGGCTACACAAGAGCCTGTTCCAAATAATATTAAAATGACATGTTTCTACAATGTAATTCTAGTTTCCAAATCAATTACTTAAGGAGTTTTTCTGGAGTTGCAGAAGAAAATCTTGCTGCACCCAAGCAAGCAGAGAAGGAAGGTGCTGCTGCTTTCCTCTGGCTGCATGAAATGCAGAGAGCATGCTCCATAACCTGGCATGGATTGTGCTGGGGTGGCAGTATTTTAGGGTGGAATGTACTTGGCAAAAGACAGCTACGCCAGATTGACCGAGGGTGGCATGATATTTTGTCCTGTTATTCTCTGGTACCTCGGATAATTGGCTAGTTTGCACGAACATGGCTTTTGCCAATGTCTGCAACTTAAGTACCCCCATAGGGCTGTTTATCAACTACACATGCTACTTATAAAACCCATGACATCAGCTCAACAAACAAGCCACAGTATCTAACATGCAGATGCATTCAGACAGATAGATGTGTCTAAATGACCTATCAAACACGTACTAAATGACTTTCTTATAAATAAAAAGGGACTATAATATCTCTTTTCCAAAAAATGTTTATGCGTCTATTTGTTTGAGACAAGGTCTCATGCATTCGAGGTTGGCCTTCAACTTGCTATGTGACTCAGGATGACCTTTAACCTGCTGCTCCTTGCCCCACCTCCTTGCTGCTGACATTATATACCACCACGCCTGGTTTATGTGCTGCTGGGGATTGAACTCAGGGACTTGTACACTCTAGCCACTGAGCCACACCCCCAGATCCTCCATAAAACTTTTTAAAGATGTATTTATTTTATGTATATGAATGTCTTGTCTCTATGAACGTGTGTGTACCACCACATGCATGTCTGATGCCTGAAGAGATCAGAAGAAGGCATTGAATCCCCAGGGACTGGAATTACAAATGTTTGGGAGCCACTACATGGGTGCTGGGAACTGAACCAGGAACTCTGCAAGAGCAGCAAGTTCTCGAAACCACTGAGCCATCTCTCCAGGCCCGCAATTCCCATAAAGCTTATTTTGATAATTCATGGCTTGGGGCTTATGAGATGAGTCAGTGTGTAAAGAAAGGCACTTGCTGAGTAAGTCTGGTGACCTGAGTTCAATCCCTTGGAACTCATTAAAAATGGAAGGAGAGACCTACTGCAAACGCTATCCTCGACCTCCACACAAGCCCCTCCCTCATCACTGACGCACATATAGACAATCATTTTTCTGGGTGGGGGCGGGGATTGAGACAGGGTTTCCCTGTATAGCCCTAGCTGATCTGAAAATCACTCTGTAGACCAGGCTGGCCTCGAACTCAGAGATCTGCCTGGCTCTGCCTCCCGAGTGCTGGGATTAGAAGTGTGTGCCACCATCGCCAGGCAACAGTAATTTTTTTTTTGTTTGTTTGTTTTGGTTTTTGAGTCAAGTCTTTTTTTTTTTTAGTTTTTCGAGACAGGGTTTCTCTGTGTAGCTTTGGTGCCTTTCCTGGAACTCACTTGGTAGTCCAGGCTGGCCTCGAACTCACAAAGATCCGCCTGGCTCTGCCTCCCGAGTGCTGGGATTAAAGGCGTGCGCCACCAACACCCAGCCGAACAGTAATTTTTTTAAGAACTGAAACAAACACATACATTTTAAAAAATCTTTAAGAAATACTAATTGGATCTGGAAAGATGGCTCAGTGGTTAAGAACAGACACTGCTCTTTCAGAGGATCTGAGTTCAGTTCCCAGCACCCACACCGGCAGTTCACAACTACCTGTAACTCTAGCTCTAGGGGATTCAACACCCTCAACAGATAAGAGCACTGGCTGCTCTCACAGAAGACCTGGATTCAGTTCCCAGCACCCACATGGTGGCTTACAAGCTCTGTTACTCCAGTTCCAGGAGATTTGATGATGCCTCCTTTTGGCTTCTGTGGGCCTCAGGCACATGTGTGGTGCACAGACACACATAAAGGCAAAACACCAACCAAAAATAAATCTGTGAAAGGTGGGGTTTTTTTTTGTTGTTTGCTCGGTTTTTCGAGACAGGGTTTCTCTGTGTAGTTTTGGTGCCTGTCCTGGAGCTCACTCGAACTCACAGAGATCCGTCTGGCTCTGCCTCCCGAGTGCTGGGATTGCTTGGAAAGGTTTCTGAGACAGCCTATGAGACAGTGGCTGTAAGCAGACATCCTAGGGGGTTTTTCTTCCTGTCACTTGTTTCCAGACACCAGCAGAGTCACATGACCACACACCGGCCTGAGCTCCTGACATCTACACAGTAGGGAGCAACTTCACCCACTGAAATAACTGGGGTCTTGCTCAACTCACGTAAATTTTAGGGCCTGCCACGTACTAATTATGCTCTCCCGATGCCTTCATGCAGGAAGTAACTACAAAAACTGAGGCAGCTTAACAGTTAATGTCCTAGACACTAAGGAGCCTGGGCTCCATGAAAAAGTGGCTTGCTCCTGAAGAGGACCAAAGTCCCCAAATTAGGGTTCTACTCAGGGTAGCCCAAGGGCAGTGCCGGCTATGGGTACCTGTAATATCTCAAGTCCTCAAAAAGGGCTGCGAGCAATGGCCTCCCCACCACATTTGGAGGGGTGTCACATTAGAGAAAAGGCACGGGTCACTATTAATCACCACGACTTTAGGGGATCATCATTATTCCATCAGCTCCTAGGAAACAGTTTGGTTAGGAGCCAGCATCATAAACAGTAAATGGATGAGGTCCATGGTGGTACTAGGACAGGTACTAAGATGTGGTGATAACAGAAGACAGCCTATGGTGTCCTGGTCACTATAAAAGACCAAGACCTGAAGAGAATGGGCCAAAGAAAAGAGGCTAGAAAGAGAGTCCAAGGAACCCAGAACAGTACATTTCCAATGCCCACCAAGACCTGGCCAGCAACAGGCACATTACCAACACTTCAGAAGTCAGTAATGACATTCCTCACTTGGCTCGGCACAGCAGCCAAGCATGAAGCGCCTTTGGTCTTAGACACAAAATGAGTGGCCCTACCTCATATTGGAATCATCACCCAGCTATGCAAGCAGAGATCCAAGGCCCCCTATAAACACCATACGTAAGTTAAGTAGGCAAAGCCCCTTGCCTACACCAGGCCTCCTCAGAGCAGGGAAGACGGGACTCAGTGAGGGCGAGCGAGCGAGCGAGTGAGCGAGCGAGCGTAGATGACTCCTGACCTGCAGAATGAGAACGAAGTAGTCTACAGGTTTGTTGCGCTGGTAGAGGTAGCACTCGGGGGCTTTCTTGTTCTTCTCATCATACTTCAGCTCCTGGATGACATTGGGGTGCTTTAGCAGCCTGAGGAGGATCTTCTCTGACATCTGGGATGGGCTAAACGCTTCTACTTCTAAGACACAAACACAACTTGACATTACACTTCAAAGAAGGGCAGCTGAGGAGCTCAGAGCGGAAGAGCACTTGGCAACAAGGATACACACAGATGAACCAGACTTCCGTGTGCGACCCCCTGGGGTCAGATTACCTGGAGAAATGGCAACAGTGGCATACGCATGTCTAGTCCTTTTTAATCTTTCCTGTTCAGCTTGCCCTTGGTCTCTGTCTCATATGAGTGCCCTATACCTCTGATTGATGGAAATGAAAACCCACCATCAGCAGACTCCCTGCTTGAGTCCAGGACACCCTTCAACACAAGCCACAACAGCATGACTGTTTGCCCACAGCCAAGGGAGGAACCACGGTCTGGAAGCATTGGGGGGGGGGGGGGGGGGGGGGTTAGTGCCTGTGCATAGACCAGGGCTCCACCTCCTGCTCTCCCACAACGCTCTCCTGAGGAATTCCAGGGACCACTGAGGGAGCGATTCAGAATAAAAGCAAGGCCGTGCACACATCAACATGCACTCCGACTTGCCAATGAAGAAGGAAATGGTAGTCAGCACTGACAAAGACAGTCACTTCATTTAAAATAACAGAAATTTCAAAGCTGCTGACTCCCAGGTGCCATTGTAAATGTGGACTTCATGGTCTCTCAGAGGCAGAGTAGGGTAACACTGAGCTGTAAGTGTGGTTCTTCCACAATGAGCAACAACAGTACCAGAACAGGAAGAGAATAATAGCAAAATATTGTCTAACTGATTTTTTAGTTATATGCTATATACGAAAGCTACAAATTCTGGATTCACCTCTGTGACTTTTTCATAGTAAGACCGTACATTGCAGGGAATTTGGAAAATACAGAAAAATAAAGAAAATAAAAATCATCTGTAAGCTGACTGCTTAGAGTCATTCAGAGCAATTTGGTGAGTATTTCTTTCCAGTGCTTTGCCTAGGCATGTGTTCCTGTGTACTTGTGTGTATGAGTACACACAGAACCACAGTGTGGTCTTGGTATACACATACTCTGATATCCAGGAAGTCATGGATATTTTCCCATGTCATAAATGTGAACAGTGAGCACATTCATGGACCTGACAGTAGGTGACATTCTGCCCTGTGTTCCTGCTGACCTTTCAGGGCACCTGTATAAACACATTGCATGGGGTTGAAACCTACTGGCCCATCTTGGAAACAGATATCTTCTGCAAGCCTCTGGGAGTTTCCAGATTTTTCTCCCACTTCCCCTGGCCAAGAGAGCTCACCCTTCATCTTAGAGGGCCATTTGGGGATGTGAGGGGATTAGTCAGTCTCTTGGGTCTTTCAACCGTGACCGCTTGGAAGCAGTCAGTGCTGGCTGGGCTGGTGGCTTTAACCATGTGAGCATTTGCCTCTGGATGGGGCCCAAGTTAACAATCTGACTTGAAGAAGTCACCGAGAAATCCTGGCCAAATTCACAGAATCTTTCATTTCATCAAAACGGTAAAAGATAAGGACTTAATTCTGCATGTCTGCTTTTCTTCTTTGTGAGTTTTAGCACGCGTTACCACTGGTGTCCAAGTGTTCTTCCAAGGCAAGCTGAAGAGAGGATTACTCAACTGTCCAATCAAACGGGGGGCTCCTGGCTTGCACTGGCAGCCTACTCCACCAGCTGGCTCCCCCGCGGGGCTCAGCTGCAAGGAGATGACCTGGCCTACCGGATACATGCAGTGTGGCACTGACATTCATCCTTACCTTTCAGACCAATTTTAAGTTACTGGTCCACCCCTGGCAAATGTCTCAGAGGGTTCATGCCGACACTGAACACAGGAGAGGAGAGAATTTAAAGAGAACAAAACAGAACAAAAACAAAAAACAAAACACAAAGTGGCATTACTTGTCACCCCATTTCCCGGCCTCCACCCCCAGCCCCCCAGTCAGCGTGGTGAGGAAGGCTCCAGGGCCTGCAGATCTCACACTGTGATAAGCACACTTGCCTGTTGCTAGGAAACGGTGCATGGCCAGGAGAAGCTGTGGTGATATTTTAACCTTCATCTCGCTGTCCGTCTGCTTAAAGGCAGAGAAGTCTTGCTTTCTCTCACGGTGGGCCACCTTCTTTTTTGTTCTGTTATCAGCTGAGGGGATGAAGGAAAGAAAACAGATCAGGCTCTTCATCGAGGAGAGAGACAAAACACCGTTTGACCTCTCCGGGGACCGGTGGACTGGGCAGGGAGCACAGCCGCTCCTCGGTCCGCAGTAAGCCACAGCAGGAAACCGGACTGTCTTAGAGAGCCCCACAGACAGGACACAACCCCACAAGGAGCATACAGAATCACAGCAGAGCAGCAGACCGCCTCAAGTGCTACCAAAACCACTGCAGGGGGGGAGCAGCCACAGGCTACACCTGAGGGAAGCCGTCTGGGCCTGTAGAGGGCCTCTCGGCCTCAGGTGACAGACAATGAACACAAAGGAGATTCCTCAAGAACCAGGCTCCTTCCAGGAATGCCCTGTTCATCCTCGAGGCTTCATTCCTGCCCCCGACTATGAGATGGTCAAGGTCAGGCAAACACCGGGGTGATCCCGGAGGGATGAACCAGCCTCCTCTGGACGAGGCCAGAGGAAGTCCTCAGGTTCCGGCTTTTGTTGCCGACTCCACAGCCACGCTTTACGGAAACTTCCCTTTTTGTTTCAGTTCTACATGTCACAAAGTAATTATTCTGTTGATTTTTCTCAGTCATTAAACATCATGAAAAGCCATTCTTGCCTTGTTAGGACACACGACACCAGGTGGCAGACACCCATGGCTATGGTTTGCCAACCCCTGATCTAGAAGGGATCTCCTCCAAAGTCATTTTTTTAAATAAAGTGCTGATGAAGAAAAACCCAACGTGACAAGACGGCAGCTGTGTATAGTGGTGTAGACGTGTCATTCCAGCACCTCGAAGGCTGAGGAAGGAGAGGGGTATGGTCAAAGCCAGCCTAGGCTACATGTGAAACTCCGTCTCAAACATCACCACCTCAAAAGAAAAGAAAGAAAGACAAAGAAACAAAGGACAAGGACCCAACCCTGTCTCTGCCCAAGATCTGAATTGCTCTCTTGTCCAGGGTCAAATGTCATGACTAGGCCTTCTGTGAGGCTTCTACACTTCTATCTCAAGGTATTTTGAAAATCGGAACGTGTAAGTCAATATGAAACTTAAAAAAGTTCTCTAATGGCAACTAGCTGTAATCATGGCTGACCTCTCACCTAGACTGAGATAACCCGGAAGTCACAAGTTCAGCGTTTCACACCAAGAGGTCATGTCATGCAACACTTCTCCATGAACTGAGTCCCCTCACTGGGAGTTTAATAACATTTAGTAACATTTCCATAAAAGAGTATTTAAGATTTCATAAATATTTATACTGTCCTCCCATTGGCAAGTGCTACCCCAGGGGAAACACAAATACCCAGGCATAGATTCGATTTGAATGAAGAGGGGCTGGTGACATGGCTCAGTGGGGAAGTAACCAGAGCTGGAGCTTGGAACCCACATAAGGCAGGGGAGGAAAGTCATTGCACACCCCGCCCGGCTCTCCACTAACCTCCACAAATGCACTGCACATGTGGGCTCACTACATCGGACAGGACCATAAAAGGATGGGAAGAGCATAATCAAACAACATTCTCTACTAGGAAGCCTCCGACTGCAGTGGGGAGCTGCTCTGTCTATGACCTTGAAGCACCGCCCCTAGAGATGCAGCAGGAACTGCTCCACCTGCCTATGACCTTGAAGTACATGCCCCTGGGGCGTGGCCTCTGGGACCTTTAAGACCTGAGATGCACATAGACATTGCTCTCTTTGCTCCCTTGTGGACTTGAATTCAGGACTGATCCAGAACAGCATTCCAGAACCTGTGTCAAATCTGTGCTGTACAGTGAGTTTTTCCCCTTAATAAATTCTTTGCCCTTTAAACAGACTCCATAGATTTCTTGCTTTATCTACCTTCCAAATGTAAAAAGCATAAAACACAGCCGGGTGGTGGTAGCGCACGCCTTTAGTCCCAGCACTCGGGAGGCAGAGCCAGGCGGATCTCTGTGAGTTCGAGGCCAGCCTGGTCTCCAAATCGAGTTCCAGGAAAGGCGCAAAACTACCCAGAGAAACCCTGTCTCGAAAAAACAAACAAACAAACAAACAAAAAAAAGCATAAAACAGACAAGAATGTATACAGATGTAAGGTAAACAAGGACACCCTTTTCAAAGATAATTCTTAGCAATTTAGAAGTTTTTCTTTCGTTAGGTGCTACAAAACTTTGGAGATTTTAAAATGTGTAACATGCCCTTGTAAAAAGACTGGATAAAATCACTCTCCTTTTGAACAAGGCAAGCTTTGCCCGGAATGCCACAGGGCACTAGGATAGCCCAAGCCCTACAGGCTCTGTTACAAAGCTGAGAGGATAAACAGAGTTCAGGTGCTCTGTCCCCGCCCAATGCCCAGGAGCCTCATATGGGGCTGCAGAGATGCTTCAGTGGTTAAGAGCACTGGCTGCTCTTCCCGAGGACCCAGGTTTAATTCCCAGCACCCACATGGCAGCTCACAGCCACCTGTAACTCCAGTCCCAGAGGATCTACTGCCCTCTTCTGGCACTCTTGGATACTGCATGCATGTGATGCATGTGTGCAGGCGAAATACCCATACACAAAATAAACACATTTTAAAAAGAAAGATCCTCATATGATAAGGTAGGGCGGAGGGTAGAGGCCGAAGTTCCCTGGTGCAGGGGGTGAGTTGTACATGCCAATGAAACAAGCTGCAGGTCCAGTACTGAGGGGGCAAGTTCCCTGAGCCTGGGACTGCCTGATCTAAATACTCACCATTCCCATCTGCCCTTCAAAAGAAGGCCGTGAAAGAGACCACAAGAAAACTATACTCTCTGTGTGCATGGTGGATTATGTACCTGTGAATGCATCTGTGGAGGGCAGAGGTCAACATTTGAATGTGCTCATCAATTGCTGCCTACCTTATTTATTTATGAATTATCTTAGAAAAGGGGCATTTTATTGAGCCTAGAGCTCACCAACTGGCCTGAGGAGTCACCCCAGCGCCCCCCTACACACACACACACAACACTACTCTGCCTCCCAGCACTGGAATCATTGGCACACAACACCACCCCCAGTTCTCATGTGGCTACTAGGAACCCAAACTCAGGTCCTCATGCACAGCAATCATCCTGCCACCTGAGCATCTCCACAGCTCTGCTATTCTTACTGCACACACTACTGAACGCCACTCCAGGGCACACCCGGCATTACTGTCCCAGTCAACTGCCCTTGCTCAGTTCATCTACCCCCGGCCCATAGGTTCTGGAACAAGGAAATGTAATCAGCTGCCACCTCCCAATTTAACTAAACAAATTCTCTTGTTAAATACGTGAATTACAAACTCAAGGAGAAACAAATTTATTGGAAAACACTTTGCCTAGCTGTGTAACATAAACCAGCACAGAAGGATGTAAAACTGTCTGAAAAATCTGAGAGCAGAGTTTCCTGTCTTGGGTGTGGACTCATGGCCAAGAGAAGCTGCCTGTGGAAGAGAAGCTGCCTGTGGAAGAGAAGCTGCCTGTGTTAGAGAAGCTGCCTGTGGAAGAGAAGCTGCCTGTGTTAGAGAAGCTGCCTGTGTTAGAGAAGCTGCCTGTGGAAGACGAGAAGCTGCCTGTGTTAGAGAAGCTGCCTGTGTTAGAGAAGCTGCCTGTGTTAGAGAAGCTGCCTGTGTTAGAGAAGCTGCCTGTGGAAGAGAAGCTGCCTGTGTTAGAGAAGCTGCCTGTGTTAGAGAAGCTGCCTGTGTTAGAGAAGCTGCCTGTGGAAGAGAAGCTGCCTGTGGAAGAGAAGCTGCCTGTGTTAGAGAAGCTGCCTGTGTTAGAGAAGCTGCCTGTGGAAGAAGAGAAGCTGCCTGTGTTAGAGAAGCTGCCTGTGGAAGAGAAGCTGCCTGTGTTAGAGAAGCTGCCTGTGTTAGAGAAGCTGCCTGTGTTAGAGAAGCTGCCTGTGTTAGAGAAGCTGCCTGTGGAAGAAGAGAAGCTGCCTGTGTTAGAGAAGCTGCCTGTGGAAGAGAAGCTGCCTGTGGAAGAAGAGAAGCTGCCTGTGGAAGAAGAGAAGCTGCCTGTGGAAGAGAAGCTGCCTGTGTTAGAGAAGCTGCCTGTGGAAGAGAAGCTGCCTGTGTTAGAGAAGCTGCCTGTGTTAGAGAAGCTGCCTGTGTTAGAGAAGCTGCCTGTGTTAGAGAAGCTGCCTGTGTTAGAGAAGCTGCCTGTGTTAGAGAAGCTGCCTGTGGAAGAGAAGCTGCCTGTGTTAGAGAAGCTGCCTGTGTTAGAGAAGCTGCCTGTGTTAGAGAAGCTGCCTGTGTTAGAGAAGCTGCCTGTGGAAGAGAAGCTGCCTGTGTTAGAGAAGCTGCACTCAGTGTCACTGAATCTGCCTCTTCGTCCACTTCGGTAAGGCACTAGGCAGCGCTGCAAGGCAGCCCAGAGCCAGCGCGCGCACCACACACCGTGTGATTATAACAGAGAGCCCACCACCGGGAGCGGTGTTTACAGGGCAGGCTGGCAGCAGCAAAGGTCTGGACACATGCAGACGCTGGTACTTACTGTACAGGTCTGTCTCATCCAAGATCTCGGACTTGATGATTTCTTCAATCACATCTTCCAAGGTGACAATCCCCAGGACTTCATAAAACGGGTCCCCTTCACCCTCATTGTTCACACGCTGCACAATGGCCAGGTGGGATTTACCTTTAGAGACAGAAGACAAAGTGGCAGAGGTCATTTCCCAGGCTCCTAGCAGGCTCCTTAGGTGCCTTATGAACAGCCAGATGCTGCTTCTCTCTCTCTGTGCGGGGCAGAAAACCCGGGCCTTGTTCCTTCTATCACTCTGCCAGCTCAAGCTTTGGTCCTCCTCATCACTCTCCACATTATTTTTGAGACAGGCTCTAGCTGATTCTCCAGGATGGCTGGCCAGTGAGGACCCCTGGATCCTTCCTTCTGTCTCCACCTCCCCAGACCCTGGTACTGGGGAGGTGGAGACAGAAGGAAGCACACATCGCTGTAGCTGGCATTCCCTTTCACTGGCATGTGTACAGATGTATGATATGTGTATGTGTGCCTGCTTGCATGTGTGTGCGCACATGCGCACATGCTTGTATGTGGAGCCCTAAAGCCGACACTAGGTAGCCTCCTCCATCACTCTTCACTTTTGAGGCAAGGCCTCCCACTAAACACAGAGCTCACAGAAACTGGCTAACCTAGACAGCCGGCTTACCCCAGGGTCCTGCCTCTGCCTCTGGAGGCCACCATGCCCGCCCAACTTTTACACAAGCGTTGAGGATCTGAACTCCAGTCTTCATGATTATGTGGCAAACACTGTCTGCTGAGCCACCTCCCTGGCCCTCCTGCCTTGCTCTCTTACATGGGTGCTGGGGATTCAAACTCAGACATTTGTGTAGCAGAACACTTCACTGCCAGGCCGTCTTCTACAGCCCCGGCAGCATTTTTTCCAGCAAAGTCTATGTTTCATCATTTTTAAGTGTTGCCAACTCCACAACCAAATGGATGAGGCTTCCTGAGCCATTAAGGCAGGGATGCTGAGGAGCACCACTGCCCACAGGCTGCCCTGTACCTAGCTCTTTGCTTCTTAATGGACATGGTATTCGGCTCTTCCTCTGTGAGACATTAACAGTTCTCTCCAAAGGAGAGAGAACTCCACAGATCTCCAGGGAGGTCCAAGACCTTTGAGGCAGTGCCATGCCCCCCCAAGTCCTAAAATGTTACCGGCCTTCTCCACTGTGCTGATTCTGGACCACAGTGCAAAGATCCCTCCCTTGTCCCAGAATGCCACCCTGGAGATAAACAGCAGTCATCACTACCCTCCAGCACATACCCACAGTAGGAAGGGAGAGCTCGTCTCCAAGAACATCCTCACTACAGCAGTACAATTAGATCCTTACCCCAAATGGGCCTCTTTGAACATTCCACTTGATGACCTGAGACACACAACACAGTCTAACGTAACAATGGTTGCCTTGAGAAAAAGACACTTAGGTGGCTTGGTTGTGAGTTGCCTTCAACACACTTTACTTCTTATAGTGCTGAGGAAGGAACCCAGGACCTCAGACATGCCAGGCGAGGTCCAACATACATCCACCCAGGCCAAGCTGATGTCACTAAACAGAATGACCACATGACAAACCGTGGCTTAGACATGGTTGTCTGGTAGACAGACATTTGGAAGGGAATCAACAAGTGAGCTTATTTTGTCAAGAAAAACCATGGGCAGAATTTGATGTTAATGATTAAAAAAATTGTAATTTCGGGCTGGAGAGAGGGCTCAGCGGGTAAGAGCACTGGCTGTTCTTTCAGAGGTCCTGAGTTCAATTCCTAGCAACTACATGGTGGCTCACAACCATCTGTAATGAGATCTGGCGCCCTCTTCTGGTGTGCAGGCAGAACACTATATACATATAAATCAATCAATCTTTAAAAATAAAGAAAAAATTGTAATTTCAGTAGAAAATTATAATTCTAAGAAACTCACATCCAACATCATGATTTTGATACATTCTTAGTAAAGGCTTTTGTGTGCAATGAGTGTGTGTGTGTGTGTGTGTGTGTGTGTGTGTGTGTGTGTGTGCACGCGCGGCACGAGTGTGCCTGTGGAGGCCAAGTATGTCTTCTCCACTGATCCTTTCCTACTGTTTGACACAAGGTGTCTCACTGGACCAAGAGCTCACCAGCTGGCAAGTCTGCTGGCCTGTCGCCCTCAGAGCAGAGCTGGACTTACAGGCATGTGCTGCCATGCCCGCTTCCTCCGTGAGGGCTGGAGGACCTGAGCTCAGGGCTTCATCAGTTCACAGCAAGCACTTTAACCAGCAAGCCCTTTCCCCAGTCCTCAGTAACGGCTTCTTGGATGAGATGGGTGGTCACAGTAATGAACGCAACCATTAAAATGGTGAGCAATCTGGTCCAGCCACCTTTTAAAGAGCTGCAAGACTGAGCCAATTCTTTTGAGATTCGTATGTTTTTATTTTATGTGCTGGATGCTTTGCCTGCATGGATGTCTGTGTACCATGTGTATGCCCAGTGCCCGTGGAGGTCAGATAAGGAATGCTGGACCTCTGGGACTGGAGTTGTAAGCCACCAACGTAGGAATTCAATGAACCCAGGTAGGTCCTCTGGAAGAGCAGCCAGTGCTTTTAACTGCTGAGCCATTTCTCCGGCCCTGCTAATTTTTCAACTGACTATGGCAATAACGTGAGAATTATGCATGGATAAAATAATCCCGAGTACAAGATGGACATGGACCTTTAAGAATTTTTTTTTAATTTTAAATCATTTGTATATGAGTGTGTTTTTATGTGGGCCGCCGCATGTGGGTGCAGGTGCCTGTGGAGGCCAGAAGGAGTCATCTAAACCCCTAGAACTAGACTTACATGCAGTTTGTGCGGCCCAACAAGGGTGCTGAGAACTGAACTAGAGTCCTCTGGAAGAACATCATGTGCTCCCAACTATTGAACCATCAACTTTCCATCCCCATAGCAGACTTTAAAAAGAAACATGAACAGGTGAGTAAGGACTGAGGCAGGTAGAATGCCATGCATTCCGGGCCAGCCTAGGCTACAGAGACAGTGTTTCAAAGAAGAAAGTAAAAAGCAACCTACAGACCAGCGACCTAGCTCAGCAGCTACAGAAGTTTGCCAAACAGATGGAGCAGACAACCTAAGTTTGATCCCTGGATCCTGTGGTAGAAAGAGAACTGGCAGCCAGGCGGTGGTGGCACACGCCTTTAATCCCAGCACTCGGGAGGCAGAGCCAGGCGGATCTCTGTGAGTTCGAGGTCAGCCTGGGCTACAGCGCAAGATCCAGCACAGGCACCAAAACTACACAGAGAAACCCTGTCTCGAAAAACCAAAAAAAAAAACCAAAAAACAAAAACAAAAAAACCCAAAAAAGTTGTTCTCTGACCTCCACACATGCACCTTTGCATACATACAGCTGTGCTTTCTCCCTGCACACACATGCAAGTAACAAACACAACTTAAACAAACCAAAACCGAAAAAGGAAATCGTCCTTTCGGGGTCTCCATTGTTATACCTTTTATTATCATGACACTGTCAAACGAAGACACTGCCATCGATATATTATGTCTCAACTCCAGACACTTTGTTTGGACTTCACGGACTTTTCCAAAAAACATTTTTTTCCTTCTTCCTTGTCCAGCACCCCACTGTCCAGCTGCATGTCTCCCCAGTCCCCTATGGCCTAGAGCAGCTGCTTAGTCTGTGTTTCATGACTTTGATCATCTTGAGGTGCGCTGCTCAGGTCCCCTCCAGTCACCAACCCTATGCTACCTCCCAAAGAAGGAGAGAACATGTTGGTTCTGTGTGGAACGGTTGCAGAGGGGATATTACTCATACATTATATTCCTCAAAATTCTTCTGCAAAGATTTCAAGTAAAAGAGTGTTATCAGGACAGAGTCCCGAATGCCCATCGGTGGGACTTCAGGTCTACAGTGTAGACAACCTGTAAGAAACTTCTACTGGGCAGGGTGTGGTGCACACCTTTAATCCCAGCACTCGGGTGGATGTCTGTGAGTTTAAGGCCAGTCTGGTCTACACAGCAAGTTTTAGGGCAGCTAAGGCTGTACAGAGAGACCTCGTCTCAAAAGAAAAGAAACAAAACATCCACTGGGCTAGGGAAGTGGTTCAGCCAATGAAGGGCTTACCCACCAGCACCAGGACCAGAGTGCGGATCTCCAGAACCATGTCAAAGGCCAAGCACAGTGCACATGTCAGCAAGGCCAGTTTGGGGGCAGCACAGACAGGCAGACCTCTGACACTCATTAGCCCTCTTGTCTGGCTGAACTGACAAGCTTCAGGACCATGAGACTGTCTCAAAAAATACAATGTAAATGACTGAAGAAAGAGACCTAAAGTCTACCTCCGGCCTCCACACAGGCAAATCCACAGTCTTACACTAACAGGGACGCACTGCACTCACACACACCACTCAAGGAAGGGGAGTTTGGGGGTAATGTCAGAGGTCAGGACAGTACAACCCTCCCTTTTCCAACGTCTATCTGTGAGGCCAGACTTTGCTCATCTGCTCCAGCAGACCCACACTGCAGAGAAAAGGCAGGAGTGGGTGTGAGTCCAGCTGCTTCCCGCCCAGGACGATACAGACGCCAGATACACACGGCATCACTTCAGTTTTCTGTTTTGGAAAACAGCTATATGGAATAAAAATGCTACTTATGTCAACACACAATCGGCTTTGAAATGGCTTGATAGGTAAATAAGTTTTAAGTTTCATGGTTTTAAATTCATATACAGTAAATATCAAAAGTTGTAATCCATATAACAGAAGTTTAATGGGTTTTTTTTTTTTAGCTAGTCATTATTGTGTGTGTGCTCTGTGGGGGTCAGGAGACAACCTTTGTGAATGAGGTCAGGGCCCTTCTACCTTCAGTTGGGTTCTGGGAACTGCCCTCAGGAAGGCAGGCTTTCCAGCAAGTGCCTTCAGCTGCTGAGTCATCTCTCTGGCCCTGTCAATTTTTATGAATCTAAAAGATCTGTTAAATTCAACAAATTAAAAGGACCTCGTGACAATGCTTTGCATTGCTGCTTTAGGGGATGAGTGAGGGTCAAGGAGGAATTGGGCTCCCGAGTTCAACAGTCTTGGATGTGAACTCCAGCAACTGCCTGCCCCCACCCCAGCATCACGAGTTGATCACCAAAC